GGGGGGGGGGGTTGTTCTAGGAAAGGGCCATACATACAATAATTTGCAAGTGTGGGTACATGTTCTTTTCCCATTTCTCTCTTGACACCCTGAAATCCATCTATTTGAGTATGATTCAAGTCAGTCAATGTGCTGTATAGCCGAATAGTAGTTATAGCAAATTATGTTGACAATGTTCTCTTCCAAAGTTCAAATGTGAGTTGATTTCTTTTATAAATGGTAAAATAAATGATTAAAAACCAACAACATACGAATGGATTAATTACCCTCTACTTAGTTCAGATCGCCATATAGCAGCGAGTCCAAGCTCTCATGTATGCGCGAAACCGATTCAAGTGCAGGTCAAGATAGCGAATCACTGCCTCGAATCTTATGTGTAGAAATTCCAAGAGATAACAAGATACGGATTGCGTTCGGAATATCTGTTATCTTTCCTTTTCCTTTACCCACCTCACGCCAAGGGGCGCTTCGCACATGAAACTTCAAACGCATTGTCACGACGTGCACGTCTGTAGCAAGAGCGCGCAGTCCTAGCCAAGCTAACGGACGATGAAGACGCTGTTGATTGCAGTGCTGTGCCTTCTGGCTCTGCTGCAAGTAAGAAAACTCCCCATCAATTTATTTAGATTCCCTCCGTCGACGGCCCCTCGGTGCACAGCGCAGCATCGCGGCCTGGCTGGCGGTACTTCCCTCTAGTGATGTTAACGTGAGGAATTGTCATGTGCGGCAGGTCTCGGAGGCGGGGAATGCCCCGCGACGAGTGTCCATGATGGTGCCCTCGGCGGCGCGAAGGCGCGCCGGCGCCAAGCCCATAGGGACATTACCCTCGAGAGAAGGCTACGTAGCACCGCCGTGGCCCCCGCGTCACACGGGGCCTAAACATCCCCAACCAGGTACGGGAACAGAAAATCCTTGAGCCGGTTCCTGATCGGCCAGTTAACTACAGACGCTCGCTTATGTGATGCGTTAAGTTATTTTTCCAATTAACAGACATCGCTGGTCGCGTTGCGGGTCGCAGTCACAAGGGCCTCTACATTATCAACGGATCAAACGCCACCGTGGGCCAGTTCCCGTGGATGCTCGGCGTGTTTATAGACCTCACGTTCTTCTGTGGCGGCTCCATCATCGGCGAGAGATGGGTGCTCACCGCGGGCCACTGCGTGGACGGGTACCTAATGCGCGCACCACCCGGAGGATGCAGTACTTGGCATGGAGTTAACTGAACTGTTCGTGTGTCGCACAGAGGCAAAGCCTTCGAGATAACAGCTGGGACGTTGATGAAGACGGGAGGCACCGAGGCGACTAGGCAGGTACGCACGGCCACAGCCGCGTCTGCTTATCGCCACCCCGACTACAACTCCCAATTCGTCGACAACGACATAGGAGTCATCCAAGTCGAAAAACCATTCATTTGGAATGAAAGTAAGTGTCTGACCAGATCCCATCTAATAGAAATGTAAAATCTGCCAGATGTGGAGATTGACTTTCGTGTCGTGCCTGCCTAACAGACGTCGTGCCAGTGCGGCTTCCGTCCTACTCCATGGCCCTCGACATGATGGTTGGCAAGAGAGCGACCATCAGTGGGTGGGGAAAGACATCAGATGATAGTAAGCAGGGGTGCCGACAGAAGGGGCGCGCCTGATTAGGAGTACCAGCGCGGTAGGCGTCGGCAATTAATTTTTGCTTATTGCAGTTTTCAATGAAGGCCCTCCAAACCTTTTGTACGCCAACCTTCAGATAGCTGATGGATCTATATGCTTCGGCCATTATGGGACCACCTGGATTCCCAACAAGATATGCATTGCCACAAAAGACGAAGGGAAGAGCACCTGTCAGGTACGTGCCAAGTACGAGTTCATTCTGTCACTCACTAGACTCCCACAGTAACATTTTCCCATTCCAGGGCGACTCAGGTGGTCCTTTGGTTATCAAAGAAGACGACGGCAAATGGACAGAAATTGGCCTAACTTCCTTCGGGGACTTGGAGGGTTGCGCCAAGGGCTTGCCTGTTGTTTTCACTAGGGTTGCGTCCTTCCTTGAGTTCATTGAAACTACAACCAACATCGAGGTCCGAGGATGACCAACATAACAAATAAAGGCATTGAAATAAAATAAAAGGGCAATAAAACTCAATGACAAAAGAAATTCAGGTGTCTGATTTAAACCATTGATATTGTTTTAAATCAAAATTATGTACAGTAACAAATATGAAAACAGTTTAGTTTGAGTGAATTTCAATGTTGACCATATCAGAAGTATGCAAGTTGATTGAAGTAGTTCTTTAAAACATTTAAATCCATGTCTTCCACATACTGGCTCATAAAATAGCAAGGTATGCAGATGGACTAGATGATAATGTCTTCAATTGCATGACAATGGTGTCACAACTATGGTACGAGAGGCAAATATAATGCTGAAGGAACTTCATTGGATGAGGTAGTTTACATTGTAAGAGCCTGTAAAAGAAAAGAAAAAGAATATAAATTTCAAAGTAAGGAAACAAAACGAGCACACAGTGAACCAGGAGATAGTGCTTAGTCTGGCAAGGAGTCTCATCATACAATATCAGTTTTAAAAGCGAAACCAATGAGAGAATCATCATAGCACAACACTTTAAGTGTCAGTCATAAAGCCACTCAGTCTGGCAAGGATTATCATCACAGAGAACCAGAAGTTTTAGCGAAACCTTATGGATTATCATCATTGTGGCGGTACAAACAAAACAGAAATATCACTTAAGAGATCTAATAACTCTACTCAGTCAGCCTTTCAAGGAATATAATCAACTTGATACAGAGAATCTAGCAAAGCTATAGAGAACATCAAAGCTGAGTTAGTTCTAGTTGATTGAATTACAGCATAGAGCAAAGTTTTAAATATGACTCGAGACATAATTTCCTAATCCATTCTAATTGTTGGGAGTCAAATCCTAGTCCCCTTGAGATGAAAGGACAGTACTAGATTCAATTTCCCATTTCTTTGGCACTGTAGGAATACTGCTTACGGTACAGATAACCGCCACAGACCAGTTCAGTGCAAATACAAATGCAGATAAACCTAAAATTTGC